GAATGGTCAACTCTTACATTGACATCAATCATTTAATAACAAAACAAAACAAAACTTAATCATCAATTTATTGACATCTCTCTCTCACGATTTCTCTATCTTTAGTGTAAAGCAATTTTTGTTGTTGGCTCCTGCCTTTGGTTTTAAGGTTGGAGGCAATCTTCTTGATAATCATTATGGATCTCTTCCTTCTCTTATTTTCTGTTTGCTTTATTTTGGTGTAGAATTGTCATCATGATAGTTGTCATATTTTGGCCCAAGCACACAGTAAACATAAAATTTTAGATCGAGTTATCACTTTTGATATGGAGTTGAAGTTGGAAGTCAGGGAAGATGTCGGATTGCGTTGGGATTAGGTTTAGCTAGTACGATGTTATGGGTTTAGTCGGTGCAGTGTTATGGCTCTCGGATGTCTGGAGGATGTGGAGCGGTGACATGGTTTTATCCTTTTATTTTGTTTAAGTTTAATAATTTTCATAAAGGTTCTTGGAGTTCGGTTTTGATTTCTCTCTTTTGGAGAGTTTTCTAGTTTGATTTCTCTTTGGCGTGCTACATCTCTTTTGGATCTACGTGTGAAGGGTGGAGTCATTTGATTTGCTAGATCTATTTCACTTGGTGTTATAGGATCATGTCGATGATTAGGTGATGCGATTAGACTCATTGGCATCGTACTATTTGTCCCAATATGATTTGCGGATTTTGTTCTCACATGATCTTCATGTAACACATGGTTTAACGATTTTATGAACTTGTGTAATCTTGTTCCCGATGAGTGCTTGAAGTCTACTTATTGCTTTTTTTGTTTGTTTTTCTTTTTGACAAACAATAGCGTTAGTAAGTTGAATTGTTGGTTGTTAGGAGGGAGAGAGATAGGTGGGGATTGAATTCACACTATAGTGTATAAACATAATTACTTTTCACTATTGCGGTAAATCGCCGTCTACAAAATCCCATTTCATAATATAAACTTTGATCGATTACATGAAATGAAATAATCGAACCAAAGTGATCACCAAACTGATTGGTTTGGTTCATCTATGCTAGCAGTGGCGAAGCCAGGATTTGTCGGGGGGAGGGGCGAACTTAAAAGAATGCAAGGTTAAAGAAAAATGGCAACAACTAAATATTTTTATATAGTAATGTCTTCCATAATTAATCAATACAAACAAATTACAATTGTTGCCAGCGAGGTTTCATGTCATGAAAACGTCGCCTAATAGGCTCATTATCAATAAAAGCAAATACATCTTTCTCAATGTAAACAAGCATGCTATCACTCAACCATTGATCTCCCATTTTGTTACGCAATGGTGTTTTCACAATCTTCATAGCAGAAAAAGCTCTCTCCACCGAAGCGGTTGCAACCGGTAACACCAAAGCCAATGTAAGAAGTTTATACACTAACATATAACTTTCACACCTCCCGGTCTTCACTAACTCTTGTGCAAGATCACTAATTCCTCTCAATGATGAAAACTCACTATGCATCTTCATATCATGAATGTAATTGTCAAGTTGAATTGGAAGATTCATAAGGTCCATACGATCAAAATCTTGAAAATAAAGTTGGGCTAAACGAACAATTTTTACTTTGTCAAAAGATGCAAAATTATTCACCGAACTCAAACATGCCATACAAAGAAGTAACTCGGTGTTTACCTCATTGAAGCGATCATTCAACTCCTTTAGTTGCATATCAAGGACTTGAAAATAGAGGTCCACACGATAGTAATGGAAGTTTGTGATTTTTGGAGCTTTACGCCTTGATTTTCCAGGTACGAAATGCAAATCCTCCATGTTAGGAACGATAATATCATGCTCCTCACAAAACTTTTCTACATCATGAAGCAAGTCCCCAAAGTCATCATCTCTCAATGATTGTAGTCTTTGCTTGCATACTTCCACTAATGCCATTGCATTCACAATATCTTGATCTTTCTTTTGCAATGCTTGTGATAACACATTTGTAATTCCCAAAATAAGTCTCATCAAGAAAAGGTGAAATGCAAAATCAAAAGTTTGTATATCTTTGAATAACCTAGTTGCTTCACCGAGATTATCTTGGTTGCGATCACTTTTAATCCATTCAACCACCTCCACCACGGCTTCAAACATAACAATAATACTAACTATAGTACCATAATGCGAGTTCCACCGTGTATCACATGGACGCATGAGACTCATTTCTTGATTTAACCCTTTACCCGTTTCAAGATTACCAAGATCAAGAGCTTTCTGAATTTGTTCTTGTTATTTCTCTCTAAATGCATCACGACGTTTACACGATGATCCAATAAGATTCACCAAACTACTAGCATTGATGAAGAAATTGGCAACATCCTCATTTTCCTTTGCCACGAATACAAGAGCTAGTTGGAGTTGGTGTGCAAAACAATGAATATAAAATACTTGAGGGTATTTGTTCAAAATCTTTGTTTTAAGACCATTCAACTCACTTTTCATATTGCTAGCTCCATCATAGCCTTGTCCTCGTAACTTAGACATACTCAAATTTGTTGTAGCAAACAATCTCTCAACGGCATCTTCAAACGAGCTACTAGTTGTAGAGGAGACATGTTAAACACCCAAAAACTTTTCAATTGCTTCTCCTTTTTTATTCACATAACGCAATACCACCGTCATTTGCTCTTTAGTTGAAGAATCACGTGCTCCATCAAACAAAAGAGAAAAAATGCACCTTCCATATCTTTAGTGATTGCACCTACAGTTTCAATGGCACAAGCACGGACAAGATCTTTTTGAATATCGGAAGAAGTATACTTAAGATTCTTGGGAGCATTCTCAAACACAACCTTCCTAACTTGTTCATTATGCTTGGAAAGAAATTGCATAAGCTCCAAATAATTGCCCCTATTGCTTGATTTCAACGATTCATCATGGCCACGAAAAGGCAAACCTTGTCCCAACAACCATCTTGTGCACTCAAGTGAGGCACTCAATAAAGTATGATAATTAATGCGAGCTTCATCGGTTTGCTTAATCACAAATGTTTCAATGTGTTGTTTTTGTGTCATCAAATCTCTAGCTTGTTGTACAGCTTTATTATGAAGACTTCCAACACCTCCCTCATGGACTAGAAGATTTTTGGGTCCTTTCTTCCAATTTGTAAACCCTATCTCAGTGAAGACATCACTTCCAGTGCTACCCATTTGATCAAAATCACATTTGAAAAGATAACAATAACGGCAAAATGCAGCATTTTTTGATATACTATACTCCAACCACTTAAACTTATCAAACCAACCAATGATAAAACATCGATTGTCGCTAACCTTTCTTGGCATGATGTGGTCTCTAGGTTGACAATGATCATTTTGGAGATAGTGTCTACGAATTGCTTCACGATAATTAGGTGGATAATCAAGCATTCGACGTCTATGTGCAGGGTCTGCAGGAAGATTAGCCAATATTTCATCCAACTCAGTGGCCTCACTTTGTTGTGACCTACTTGGAATATTTGAAGGAGGACTTCTTGGAATATTTGAAGGAGGAGGAGGACTACTCGGAATATTTGAAGGAGGAGGACTACCCAAAATGTTTGAAGGAGGATTTAAGCATTGTTTCTTATAGTATCGTTCCATTACGTAACTGTAAAATGAAAAGAAATAAAAACTTAGACTCTATGAATACAACTAAGCAATTCAACTAATCATATTCATATGAATACAACTAAGTAATTTAACTAATCATATTCATATGAATACAACTAAGCAATTCAACTAATCATCCATCAAGATTCAAGAATTCAAATTTTAATTTTCATCCTAAAAAATAATTTCATAATTTCATTCAAAATGTGGCTTATTACCAATAAGTTTAGTTAAAGATGACTTTTGACATGCCAATTTATCTATATGTACAATTATACATACACACAATTCTTCTAATTCCCAATTCGTATCAATAATTTCACCCTAAAAAATAATTTCATAATTTGTATTAAATAACCATGACATGAATAATCAATAACCATATCATTTGATTCACATAAATAATTTCACCCTAAAAAATAATTTCATAATTTGTATTAAATACCAATCCCCAATCTTGTATTAAATAATAATATGATTCACATCAATAATCAATAACCAATAACCATATTAATGCATTACCATATAATTCTATACTAATTAAATGAAATTTGTATTAAATAATTAAGGTAGGGATTACATTTAAGAATTAAAAAATTTACCTTTAAATAGTGATTGGAGCCGGCTCAAGCTCAGAGGAGAGGAGAGTGGCTCACTGGCTTGTGGAACATAAATTAAAGAGGACTTTGTGGCTTTGGCTTGGCTGCTGGAGTTTGGGGAGCAGCTTGGCTGAGATGGATGGCCCCGCTCTCTGTGAATGTGTTGATTATTGATGAAGAAGACTGAAGAAAAGGATAGAAAAAGTAAAGGGTGTGGTGCGGATGGGGTCGTGTGTGGGGGGGACAGACAGAAACTAGGGTTTCATTGGGGCGACACGTGGAAGCGGTCCCCCACCCCATTATAATTTTTTTTTTAATTCAACTATCAAAACGGCGCCGTTTTGATTTAGCTTTTTTAATTTTTTTTTTACCAGGTCCAAAACGGCGTCGTTTTGGCCTGGTTTTTTAAAAAAAAAAATTAGAACGCAATCTGCACTGCAGATTGCCTAGAAAACCCAGAAAAACAGAGGGCGCTGTGAACCATTATTTTCTGGCGAGGCGGGCGAGGGAAGTGGCGAAGACCTGGGGTCCAGTGGTGTTTCCCGGCAAGGGGAGTGGCGGCCGCCACTCCTCGCTCCCACGTGGCTTCGCCACTGTATGCTAGTAGTTTGAGGACTAAATCGAACCAAATCCGACCCCGATCACCCTTACTAGAATTGACAGATCACTGGGCCTTTGACAGATTATTGGGCCTTCTCTAAAGGCCTCACGAAAAATAAAACTCGATCTGGCCCATAGACAAAGCCCTTGCGGGAACTACCACTGCAAGTTAAAGGGGCGCTTCGTCTAGGTCACGTTGACTGACGCAGAGAGAGAGAGAGAGAGAGCGAACGAAAACCAGAGAGACAATGTCATCGAACGCAGCGGCACCGTTTTGGCGCGCAGCCGGTATGACCTACATCACCTACTCCAACATCTGTGCGAATCTGGTACGGAATTGCCTCAAGGAGCCTTACAAGACCGAAGCCATTTCTCGCGAGAGGGTCCACTTCGCCGTCTCCAAGTGGGCTGAAGGCAAGCCCGAAAAGCCCAGTAAGCTCTTCCGTTCATTTCTCTTTCGGATTTCAGATCTTGGGTTTTAATTTCCGTGATTTTTTGTTGATTAGGATGTTAAAAATCGCATCTTTGATCGTTGTTAGTCGTTGATCTCAATCTGTGCGATTATAATTTGGGGTTTTTCTGGTGAAATGAGATTTAATTTTGTGAAGGGTTGATAGAATTCAATTTGCAATGTTGGGTTGTGTAATTGGTTTGAGGTGAAATGAGTGGCTCAGATGTTGGATTTTTTTATAAAGTTTTGTTCTTTTGGGTGTGACAGAAACTGGGGAAAATGCATTTGATTGAATTAAGATTATTTGGACTATTGAGTTTTCGTCGAATTTAAGATTTCTTGAAATTTTCAAAGGTGTTAACTTTTAGATAAATCTGGGTTGTTATAGTTAAAACCACCGGCGTCAAGTAATGCACATTGCGATCACTTAGTTTGTGTTTATGAAACGAGAATGTGTCTTTGAACTTTGCATCTTGTGGTTAGCGCAACTGGGTACTGAGGCAATTCTCTGTGTGTATTTTGAAGACATTTGGGAACATTTGTCTGTAGCTGCAGATCTTTCTTCCTATTGTTTTCTTTTGGTTACGGAGAGAATGTATATGATATTAGTCGGGAAATGCTAGAACTGCACATGATGGGGCATTATCCTGTGCTGCAAGAGGGCCGTATAACTTAAGTTGTAGTAAAACCCAAGCAAGATGCCTGTATAACTTGTGGGGCATTATCGTGTGCCGTTTAGGATTTGGGGATTATTTTAGATGAGTGAAATTTTGGTCTTTTTGGTCAAATGAGACTTAATCTCGTGATGGGATGATTGAATTCAATACAATGTTGGGTTGTGTAGTTAGTTTGATGTGAAATGAGTGGCTCAGATGATGGATATTTCGGAATTTTTTTTTCTTTCGGTGTGACAAATGATGGTTAAAATGTATTTGATTGAATTAATATTATTTGGAGTCAGGGAGTTTTCGTCAAATTTAAGATTTTTTGAAATTGTCAAAGGTGTTAACATTTAGATTAATATGGGCTGTTATAAATAGAACCACCCACGTCAAAGAAAACATGTTGTGGTCATATTGTGTTTGTGAAATGAGAATGTGTCTCTGAACTTTGCACCTTATGGTTAGCCTAAATGGGTGCGGAGGCAATTCTCCCATTTCTGCAATTTTTAAAGATATTTGGGATCATTTGTTAGTAGCTTCTGATTTTTTTTTTTTTTTTTTTTTTTATGGTTGTTGCTTTCTTTTGGGGGTGTGGAGAATGGAACACAGGGACTGCAATCGCTGGGGGATAATCGTATGCTCTAAGAGGCCTGTATAACTTGTGAAGCAAAAGAGTAGGATAAAAACAGGGAACGTGATGAAATTAATTAACAGATTTATCTTATTGGTTGCCACATTTTGTTTTCTCATTTCTAGTTTATAGATGATATATTCTTGTGTAGAGTGGTGATATCTAAATGCATCTTTGAGCAGTTCACCTTTTGGTCCAAGAGGAAATAAAAGTGACTTTAGTTTGTGATCTCAGCATATGTTGGAAAATAACTTGCAATGCTTTGGTATTGTCCGCTTAACTGTGTTGCTTTAAGTTAGTCGTACTTCAGGAACTCCTCCAGTCCTCTTGGTGTTCAGCTGCCTGCATCCAAGTAGTTAAACCCAGGACAACTCCCTCAGAAGAGGGACGGTTATCATTGGGCTACAGCTCATGATTGGAAGGAACTCTTTCACAGAATATTGTTTCCTATAGTTGCATGCGTTTGTAAATTCTTTTACAACATGTAAAATCTGAAACACTTTCAGGCATTCTTTTACAACATGTAAAATCTGAAGGCACTTTCAGGCAGTGTGGCTTCTTATTTATATTTCTTGGAATGTGATTGAAACAAGGCTTTTTAAACTTCATTTCTGTGTTTTGGGGGACGTTGATAACAATCAAGAAACTACTTGTTTCTCTGGTCACTTTGTCTTGCCGGCTGTAATTTCTTGTATTCTAGGATTTCTGTTGTGGATGTTGTACATGTTCGTTGTAAGTTGGTGTGCTGGTTATGATTTGGTTGTATGTTATCAAATGTCCACTGTGAACAGTTGGTGGGCTGAAATAGGAAATTTTGGATTTAGATTTTATTTGTTGATGTCCTGTGTTTTCTCAATGTCCTCCAAACTGTTTCTTAATTCGAAGAGGTGCCGTTTTTGGAGCTGGTAACTAGTGAAGAAAATATCCCAGATAATGCAATTTTAAGGCTGGTTTTGAATTCAAATTATAGATAATTGAACTTGTTATTTTCAATGTTGTCTTTATTCCTGAGTGTTGATTTTTTCATGATCTGCTAACCGATGAAGGAAATACAAGGCACTCTGCAGAATGGCTATGAGTTCTTAATATTCATTTTGTTTTAAATTTTCGTTATCTTTGAGAGTGTAGGATTTGAACGACATGAATGTGATTGCACCCTAGTTTTATTTTTGAACTTTGTTAATCGAATTCTTATTCTGCCAAGCCCGTATTCTTATATATTCTTATGTATGTTTTTTGTTCTTTCCAACAGCTATTCGTACGGATACACCTGAAGCATGAGTTGAGAGCGATGTTGGACTGCTCATGCGCTTGTGTTACGCAGATGTTTTCTTCGTCCATTTGATCGATGTGATTATAACGGGGTTTTTTATGCCCAAAACTTTCAGACATGGAGTCTAATCTGTGTTTCTGCATGATCTTTCTGTTATAATAATGTAATTGACATTGATGAAGTGCTTGATTATTGAGTAGTGTAATGTCCTTGTCAAGGTCTAAAATATCGATCATATCGGAAATATCGTCCAAAAACATGGAAATTTCGATGGAAATATTGGGATATTATCGATATCGAAAAAAATTGAATAAAAATCATGGAAATTGTAAGAAAAACTTAGAAATTTTCATTGAAACTTTGCATGATGTTTATTTAGTAAATTATCTATTAGTTTATCACAAAAAATGAGAAGGAAATGCATTGCATAATGGATTTAACTGATTTAAGTTGATTATATAGCTAACTGGCAAATATTGTGAGTGTAGAAAATATGTAGTAATTAATGAAAGAAGTTTAAACATACCATAATCATTTATATATAATGAATTAGTACAATATTTTACACTTTATACATTGCATGGTAAGATGAGTGACTTAGGACCACATAGAGTTCCTATCAATGTCTAAAATATCGATGATATCGGAAATATCGATAGAGTTTCTATCAATGTCTAAAATATCGATGATATCGGAAATATCGGTAATCCAAAAACACGAAAATTTCGATGAAAATATCAGGATAATATCAATATTTTAGACCTTAGTCCTTGTGACCAAATATTTAAATTTCATTTCTCGCATTACACCATTGTTTCGAAATACAGATACTGTTCTTGTCCCTTGGTTTTTTTCGAAAAACCTAATGTATCACTTTGTATACGATATTTACATCACCTGAATGTGCCAACATTTACAACAAATGTGACAGTTTCCTGAATGCTAATGACGTTGCAAAATTCCAACGTATATACTCAAACTCGCCTATGGCAAGACCTCGCTTAAAGCGAGATCACGAAACACAGACTACCCAACTTGAGTGTGTAACAAGCCTAGTTCTAAAGCCAAGAACACCACTTGCCACCGTTAACTAATTGGAGTCGTTATGTCTAAAGGTAAGAGACTAAAGAGGGAAGGCCTAGATGATCAGCTCCTACAAGTTGTGAAACCTTAATTAGCATCATAATCATCACCTCAACTATCCCTATCCTCTTAGCAGGGGACGTTAAGGGGGAGCGAAAGGTGCAGTCATATAGGATCCCAAATTTGAAGGAGCTCCTAAAATTTTTATCACCTAATATTTATATGTAATAATGTTCTATATTTAAAAAATATTTTTGTTAGCACTTTAAAATCTCATCGTGCATTCTTTAAGCTTTAATTTGTTTTCCTTTCTAAATATAAAAATTTGGAGTACAATGAGATACTTTTAATGGCAATAATAATACCTTAAAAAGGGTATTTTTTTTTCAATTTAATATATAATAATGTTATATATTCAAGTGAAACTTTAAAGTTGGAGTTTTGAAGTTTTTTTTTTCTTGTTTGGTTATTTAAGATTGAACTGCTTTTGATTATTTAGTAAACGTTATGTTTGTAGCTCTTTTTATTTATAATTAATGATATTTTTAAACTTGCAATTAGTGAGTGCTAAACTTTATTTTGATTTAAATGATTACTTTCTAGCGTCAATACATTATCCTACATTTTTTTGAAAAATTATCTTAAATAAGGGTCCTTTTATTAATTTCGCACAGAGCCCCCAAATTCTCAAAGACGGCCATGCCTCCTAGAATTAATTATTCTCTCTTGCCATGCCATATACAGACTAATAATACATACCATACACTTATAAAGTCAATAATTTAAAATAATCAAATTAATATTGTCACAGTTTAATATGAAAATGATTCAAGTATGATAATTGGTCCAAAAGGTGATAAGAATAGTCAGCTGGCGGCTGTTGTGGTTATTAGAAGAATCGTTGGTTGAGCCAGCTACCAATTCTCTAGTGATAAAAAAAATTAAAAAAAATTACACAAAAATATCACCGGAGAATAGGCATATTGTGGGTTGTAATTGTATGGTGATTAGGGTCGAGTTTAACCGACTGTATTTTTGCTTTAAACGATTCTTCTCTTCTGTAAATTAGAACAATAATATCGTTTGTACTTAACAGCGGATTAACAAACTCAAGGTCTAAAATATCGATATTATCCCGATATTTCCATCGAAATTTCCGTGTTTTTGGACTACCGATATTTCCGATGTCATCGATATTTTAGACCTTGATAGGAACTCTATGTGGTACTAAGTCACTTATATATCTTACCATGCAATGTATAAAGTGTAAAATATTATACTAATTCATTATATATAAATGATTATGGTGTGTTTAAATTGTTTTCATTAATTACTACATATTTTCTACACTCACACTGTTTGCCAGCTCGCTATATAATCAACTTAAATCAGTTAAATCCATCATGCAATGCATTTCCTTCCAATTTTTTGTGATAAACTAATAGATAACTGACCAAATAAACATTCTGCAAAGTTTCAATAAAAATTTCCAAGTTTTTCTTACAATTTCCGTAGTTTTTATTCAATTTTTCTCGATATCGATAATATACCGATATTTTCATCAAAATTTCCGTGTTTTTGGACTACCGATATTTTCGATATCATCGATATTTTAGACCTTGAACAAACCTAAATGAATTAAAAAAGACTAAAATGTTTGACCAAAAAGAATTAAGAAATTAAAGCCGAAGTTGGTCATTCCAATTTCCACATGTAACGTAGAAAAATACGATACCTTATAAATCATATACCCTATAAAACAGTAATAACGTATTGCTTGATGTAATTTCTTTAGTCCAAGAAATCGTATACTTACAACTTAACTGATTTGTAAAACGTTAATTACATTGATAGTGTACTTAATCAATGTTAAACTCTTTTTTGCCTTTTCAATACAGCAACATTGTGCTGGATCAAACAATGAATTAGTTATAATTCGATATCAAATTTGCAATAGACGAGAATCAAATTTAAAAACTTTCTACTTACATAGATAACTATCACTAGACAGTAGCCGGATTAACGCTTTTGATTTAATTGCACAAAATTAGGAGCCGTAAATCCTAGTCAGACCTCATTATCTTCTATAATTAACCGCTGTCAAAATCTAGTGAATCAGAGAGTCAAACCAAACCGTTCTTCCATCACATTCCCGTTTCCCATCTCTTCCACCAAAACACGCTTCTTTAGCACTCGTCTCCTTTCTCTCTCCTCTCTTTCTCTCTCTTCGCTGGGCTCGGCAGCTCAACTTCCACCGTTCCACGTCCTAATTTCCACCGGCGGATAATTTGGAAATTACCTTTTTGTCCTCACCGGATCGTTCGCCCGTCTGCTCCTCGCAGCCCTAATTTCGGAGCTGCTGGTTCAGCTGATTGATCTGATCTGTCCCTCGATTGATGGCTTCGGCGAAGACGGCCCGGTCGAGAGGCACGCCGGTCAAAGAGAACGGCGTCAAGCTCCAGGAAGGCCTCAATGTCTTCAAGTCTGACAAGTTCGATTCCCAGGGCTACGTCCAGTCACGATGCTCCCTCAACGAGAAGGTCACTTTTTTCTATTCCTGTACATATACATACCCCTATATATGTGTATGTAATATGCATACATGTTTTTTGTGTTCAGTGTTGTATATTTTCTGCTGTTTGGTTGCTGAGAAACCACGGGAAAGTGAAAGAACGAACTTTCAGAATTCTTGAATTGTTGATGGAATGGAATGCTATCTTTGTTTAGTTGTAGAATTTGGTTTCTTGAAACAATTTTGGGATATGCTATAAAGTTCGATTTTTCAAAATTGCGGAATCATATGAGGGGCCAATGTTAAATGTATGTATTTGAATTTTCTTGTAGGAAATAAGACAATTATGTTCGTATCTTTTGGACTTAAAGAGAGCTTCCGCCGAGGAAATGCATAGAAGTGTCTATGCTAACTATTCGGCATTCATACGGTGAGTTTTAGTTAAATGGTTAAAGTGACAAGTTAATGAGTTCATAATGTATGTGCAATTTTACCGGTTTATGTTGCTGAGGTGCTTCGCAATAACAGCACTGCCTTTGCTTGTTGATATGCTTAGTATATGGTTGGGTATTTGGGTGGCCTAGCTTGATACACTTGATTTTACGCAAGATTTGGTTGGTGAGATTCTTTAGTTTTAAAATGTACTATGTAAAATATTCCCACCACCTCCAGCTCTAGGTAGAAAGTAAAAGAAAACCTCTTTGGTTCTCTTAGACCATGTTCACACAATATAAATTTCACTTGTTTAGAGTGGTTGGATGGCCATTCTTCTCTTAGTAGTTTGGATTTCGCTGCTGTGTTTATTACGTAGTGTTCCAGCTTATCCTGGTCTATACTTTGAACTTTTCAGAGTTCAGAACCAATTAAACTTGAGATACAAAATGTTACTTGTACTTGGTGCAGAGCATACTATGATTGTAATTTTTTCTTTAAGTAAGAGTTAAAACGTTGGTTTTGTACTTGTTTGTTTCTTGTTGCTTTATGCAATTGTTTAAAAGTTGGTATTCATGGCAGTTTTAGTGCTGATATAGTGACAATCAAATGATTGTATATCTCCTTAAACTTGTATTTATTTTTTGATATTTTTGTTTTTGTACTAGAATTTCCGTTCTTGTTTCTTCAGATTATATGATTGATAATATTTGGTATCGAGGTAGTTTAGTTCCATTATAGTCACAGTCAAAGTGATTATTTATCTCCTTAAACTAGCATTTATTTTTTTATGTTTCGGCTTTGTTATTAGAAATTTCTATTCTTGTCTACCTATTAGTATGGTGAACTTGTTGGGGTAACTTTTTGGTATTTAGTTTACTTGATTGTAGTTTTCAAATTCTATTGGAAGGTTTAGCCGGTTAATTCTTCAGTTATGGAGTCATTTGACTCATTCCTTTTGATACACATTAATTTTGATTTCATGTAAACTGCATTTCTTACTCATAGCACCTCCAAAGAGATATCAGATTTGGAGGGGGAGCTATCTTCTATCAGAAACCTGCTATCCACTCAAGCTGCTTTGATTCATGGTCTAGCTGAGGGAGTAAAAATCGATTCCCTTTCTAAATCTGTCCCTGAAGGTTCTAGTGAAAATGGTTTATCAATTTCTGAATATAGAGATCCTACTGACCTGGAGAAATGGTTAGTAGAATTTCCCGATCTCTTGGATGTTCTGTTGGCCGAAAGGAGAGTGGATGAAGCTTTAGATGCCCTGGATGAAGGTGAACGCGTGGCCGCTGAAGCAAAACAACTGAAGACGCTGGATCAAGCTTTGCTCGTGTCTCTGCAGACTTCTATTGTTGAACGCAGGCAAAAGTTAGCTGATCAGCTTGCTGAGGCTGCTTGCCAGCCTTCTACCCGAGGTGGTGAACTTCGTGCAGCTATCTCAGCACTGAAAAGGCTTGGGGATGGCCCTCGGGCACACAGTTTGCTGCTCAATGCACATTTCCAAAGATATCAGTATAATATGCAAAGCCTTCGTCCATCGAGCACTTCATATGGAGGAGCTTATACTGCTGCACTCTCACAGTTGGTGTTCTCTGCTATTGCTCAAGCTGCTGGTGATTCTTCGGCGATATTTGGCAAGGAACCAAATTATACTTCTGAGCTTGTGATGTGGGCAATAAAGCAAACTGAGGCTTTTGCCTCTCTTATTAAAAGACATGCATTAGCTTCATCAGCTGCTGCTGGGGGGTTAAGAGCTGCCGCAGAGTGTGTTCAAATAGCATTAGGCCATTGTTCCTTGTTGGAAGCTCGTGGTTTGGCACTTTGTCCTGTGCTTTTGAAACTCTTTAGGCCTAGTGTTGAACAAGCACTAGATGCTAATTTAAAAAGAATTGAGGAAAGCACCGCGGCCTTAGCTGCTGCTGATGGCTGGGTACTTACATATCCTCCAACCGCTACACGGCAACCTGGCAGGCCTTCAACTACATCCCTCGGTAATATGACAGCATTCCAACATAAACTTACAAGTAGTGCACATCGGTTCAATTTCATGGTCCAGGTAAATCATTTTTCTCCCACATATAATCAATTAATCAACTTTCTGTGTGGGCGTGTGTGATTCCTTATTTTATTGTGGCCTCATAGATTACCTGATCATGCAGGATTTCTTTGAGGATGTAGGACCATTGCTCAGTATGCAGATGGGCGGTCAGACATTGGAGGGTTTGTTCCAAGTATTTAATTCATATGTGAGCATGCTCATAAAAGCATTACCGGGTTCAATGGAGGAAGAAGCAAACTTTGAAGGTTCTGGGAATAAAATTGTTAGTATAGCCGAGAATGAACCCCAACAAATTGCTTTGCTGGCAAATGCATCCTTTTTAGCAGAAGAACTACTTCCACGTGCAGCCATGAAGCTGTCTCCACTGAATCAGGTTGCTTACAAGGATGATCTACGTAGAAGATCATCAGATAGGCAAAACCGGCATCCTGAGCAAAGGGAGTGGAAGAGGCGGCTTGCCAGCTCGGTTGATAGATTAAAAGATAGTTTCTGTCGTCAGCATGCTCTAGATCTCATTTTTACAGAGGATGGTGATAGCCATCTTACTGCTGACATGTACATAAACATGGATGGGAATGCAGACGAGGTTGATTGGTTCCCATCCTTAATATTCCAGGTATGCTGAGTAATGATTTTCTCTGGTGTCATTTCTGTTTGAACTCTTTTCTCTTCCTTCTTTTGAGCTGTCATGCTATTCATAGTTGGTGCTACTCAGTTCAAAATATTCCTCTGCTAGTTTGCTTTGCATGTTTCATACCCTTGTTGATGTCCTCTATGCTTAAGAAAGGGTTAAGAAAAATTTTGAGGACCTCCTCCTCTGACTTCTGTCGTCTAACTTCTTGTTGGAGGATGTCAAAGTGGCTATAAAACAAATGTCTTATGTCAAAATATTTCTGAACACATGTAGATATGTCACCTTGCATGATACCTTGAAATTGGACTAATTACCTTGAATGTTATGGTCAACTGAAGATTATCAGGTGTGAAATGCTGTCTTTACATGATCCATAATTATACTTTTTGTTGGTTATTGATGGTCCGAACTAATGACAGAGACAATCTAAAATTTGAAAGGGACATTGATCATTTTAAAAGCAAGGACTTGAGAATTGACCAAAAAGTTCTTGTGGGTGGGGGCATATGATATTCCCCTTTTTGTGTATGCATATTCAACTTATTTGTGGTGTATGTGATCTGAGTTTTTTTGTTTTTACTATTTACATGTTTTTATTATTGACTTTTGTTAACTCCTAAGTTTCTTTTGTCATTTTTGTCCCAATTCAGGAACTTTTTGTAAAACTAAACAGAATGGCCAACATAGCAGCAGAAATGTTTGTAGGCAGGGAAAGATTTGCTACATTGCTTCTAATGAGACTAACGGAAACTGTCATATTGTGGCTCTCGGAAGACCAGAGCTTTTGGGATGATATTGAGGATGGGCCACCTTTAGGTCCTCTTGGCTTACAACAAGTATGTAATTTCTGGTCACACCATCTGATTTACTCCGTGGTGGTTTATTTTGATAATCTGTCTTGAATCCGGTATAACAACTCAAAACTTATATGTACAAGCAATAAGAAGCACATAGCCATTATCATGTGAAGGGATGTTCCTATTTTAGTAACATGAGAAGGAACTATAGCATACAAGGAAATAATTGAAGATCTAACATATAGAGAACAAAGAAACGAGGATGGAAGGAAAAAATATAGGATTGGTATATTTTGAGTGAGGGAGTTAGAGTAAAAGGCCTGCAACTGTGATCGCTCTATTTTTTTTATGAAACTCTCTTTCCATGCTAACTGAATCCCAATGTATCGAACATGAAAAGAACTTCCTCATATACGAGGATACTAAGTATTTTGTAACCTGGCCTTTCGGAATGATATGCTGATTCCCAGTTTTTTCCTTTTTTTTTGCCTGATATTTCTTCCCAGGTTACTAATAATTTAGACAACCTAACATTTGGTACCCGCAACTCTGTGATGATATTGATGTAAATTAGAAATCAAATCTAAAGCTATGTGAGGAAATAATGCAGATTAGAGGACTCATACTCATGATAGCTGTCTTCTCCTGTCTTAATTTTGGGTTATCCTAACGAGGACTCATACTACATGATAGCTGTCTTCTCCTGTCTTAATTTTGGGGATCTCCTCACTGAACACCCAATTTTATGTAACTTTTTTCATCTGTGTGCAGTTCTATCTGGATATGAAGTTTGTCATATGCTTTGCTTCTCAAGGTCGTTACCTATCTCGAAATTTGAATCGAGCTATTAACGAGATCATATCTAAAGCCATGGCAGCATTTTCTGCAACAGGCATGGATCCCAATAGGTATGCTTTGATCATCATCAATAATATACGCACACATATACATGTAGATGCATAACATAAATGCACATATATTGAGTCGTAATTGCAACTTATTCTATTTTTAAGCAAAAATTATCCTGGACCCGGTAAAAAAACAAATCACCCGTTGTAAAAAAGTTGGGTAAAACCTTCCAGTACGACACTTCCATCTTTTTTATGCTGGACGCTTTTATCTGTTTTGTTTTATTTATTTTTAATTTTGTCATTTATACGAGAACAATCTAAAGGGATTTGATATTATCTTGATCGATCTTTTTCTATATTTATTATATTCTTTGTAATTTACTGTATTCCGAGTTCTTATTTTGTTGTGATTACAAGACGTATGGCGTTTGAGCAGTTGGTTTACTGTATGCCGGGTTGTAATCTTGTTTCAGTGTCCTTCCGGAAGATGACTGGTTCAATGAAGTCTGTCAAGATGCAATTGAAAGATTAAGTGGGAAACCAAAAGCCGTGAACGGGGATCGGGATCTTAATAGCCCGACCGCCTCTGTTTCAGCACAATCAATCTCATCTGTTAGATCTCATGGGAGTTCCTGAGGCACACCAAGTTTCATCTCTCTGTAAATTAAATAGAAAACTATCCTTGTATCCTTTAGAACCCCTCCAGTATAATTTTGGTCACCATCATCCTTTTCCCTCATTTTTTTCTCTGGAGGACGACGTTTCGTCTCACAAGGCTAGGAATTCTTTTTGAATGATTTGAGTTTGTAAAGTTGTTGATTGCAGTTGTTTGATCGGAATACAAGTTTGTATAATTCTTTCACAAGTTCGGGCAGAGTCGCATAATCCGTATTGATATCGCCGTTACCCCGAATTCATGTGAATATTTCCTTCCATTGATAAAAGAAGACATTTCAATGTGTATAAATATAATGCATGGTACAGTATACTGCGTTCCGTTTAGAATTAGCAGCTTGTGCAAAGAGAAATGTTTAAAATACTCTACGTTCGTGAAATATCGTTCATTTTGACCCACCAGTAGTATAATCCGTCATGTGTCGGTGTGACGATCACACTAAACATTTGCCGGTACATGCTTTCTGGGAAAAGTCAGTGTATCGAGATCCGGGTCTCATTTAAACCTGCCTAATTTGACATCCACACTTCCGGATTAGCTTGGAAAGGTTGTATCTTCGACTTCGTTGCTATTTTAGACATTAGATCTAACTGTTTAGTTTAGATCTTCAATTTCCAATCTCAACTGTTAATTCCTCGCCTGCAGTCAGTGCTACGTAGTATTGAAGAAAAATCCAAGATTTTGATCACTCGTGTCTTACTTTTTCGACTCAGTCGACTCAAGTTCTCTTCCTCGTCCTCACTCGACTCGGTCATTCATATGGTTAACATCATAAGAAGCTTATCATCGAGGTGCCAATACCTACATGTTAGTTATATATTTAGAATGCTTGAAGTCATTTCCCTTAAAATTGCATATCGAACCTACATTGCACATGTTCACAGATGCATCACTATCCAGTAGCATTAAACAGCACTAAAAGTACGCCGGTCACAGCAACCGATTTGGAAAAATTCAAAGGCTAGCCTTTTGTGCTTCTCACTTGGGAATCTGCATCTAACAATTGCTTGATAACAGCTCTCATCGTGGGCCTCCTTTTCGGATCTTTCTCAGTACATCTGAAAGCCACCATAAGCACCTCGATAACTTGATCCATGGTCGTTGAATCCAGAAGTTCCTCCTTAAGGCTTGAATCGACGATCTGATCAATTTGTTCCGTGCTGCTCCACACTGACTTGGCCCATCCTGCAATGTCAGTTTGCTCCATAAATGATGGATCCAATGCCTTCTTTCTAGTTATCAGCTCAAGTAAAACAATCCCGTAACTGTACACATCAGATTCCACGCCCTTTGCCGTTCTAAATGCATTTTCTGTCAAAAGCCATGAAAAAATAACAACTCAGTTCATTGAGTGCATGAAATGTACAAACATTTCTGAATACAAAATAAACTAGAATAATTACCTGGTGCAATATATCCGGTTGTACCCACAACCGCAATGGATGTCGTTGGTGCAGAAGATTGGTGATCCAGAAGTTTAGCAATGCCAAAATCAGCAATATGGGGCTCCATATCAGAGTCCAAGAGGATGTTCATAGGTTTGATGTCTCGATGCACTATCGGGGGATCACAATCATAATGGAGATATTCCAACCCGTATGCAGTTCCAAGCGCTATCCTGTAGCGAACACTCCACTCAAGAGTTGGTGGGGGTTCAATTTCATGTAAAACATCATGAAGGCTCCCATTTTGCATGTACCTATACAAGATTAAACCGTGGTCTTTTCTTAACCAGAAGTCTTCCAATCTAACCAGATTCCGGTGCCTAATTGACCCAAGGGTCTGAATTTCTCGAACCATGCTCAAACGCCTTCCTTCGTGCCCTGCAAATTGAAGCTTCTTGACTGCATAATCTTTGTCTGTCGCCAAGGAGGCCTTATAGACTGTTCCATGGGCTCCTCTCCCAATGATATAGTGACCATTCAGGTTTTCTGTAGCCTCCAGTACCTTGTTCAGCAAGGCAGATGGCCCCTCTTGAGCTGAGATCTCAAGATCGTGCTTGGCCTTTTTGCGCCAGAGGAACAGATAAATCAGCCCATAAAGCACAAAAACAACAAATATCGAGGATCCTAGAGCTATAAATGCAAGTTGCACTTTACTAAGGCCTTTCCGGTTGCTTGGTGGGCTGTTGCAAGGCTTAAAACTGCTGTTTCCTGCGCACGTTGAGCCACATGATGGAAGGTTATTGACACATATGAAGGGATTGCCCAAAAATGACGATGGGGATGAGTTCAACAGCTTCATCAACGTCTCTGGTACGGGGCCTGTGAAGTTGTTGTCTGAAACATTAACCTCAGTTAGTGAACTCATACCGTCGAGCACTTTTAAAGTCCCTGTCAAATTGTTATGAGAAAGATCTAATTGTTGTAGCCTTATCAGCTTCCCTAGCTCCGGAGGAAGCGGACCTGTCAATCCATTGTTGCTAAGATTTAAAGCATAAAAGATACTCTGCAATGCTCCAATTGATGGTGGAATCACACCTCCGAAAAGATTTCCACCAAGTTGTAGCTCTGAAAGCTTTTCGAAGTCTGACAAGAAAGTTGGGATGCCACCAGTGAAGCTGTTGTCGCTTAAAATCAGTGTTGATAAACCTGTCCAACTTCTCAGAATTGACGGAATGGAGCCATTCAACAAGTTGGACCGCACATCAAACTTATCCATTTTGGTACACTTAGATAGTTGAGGAGGCAGAGAACCAACCAAATTGTTCTGGAAAAGAACCAATGTACGGAGCTCTGCAAGATTCCCCAGCTCCGGCGGTATAGCTCCAGTTAACTTGTTTGCGGACAAATTGATAGTTGTGAGGTTGCCACAGTTTCCCAAGCTTGATGGAATAGCTCCACTAATCTCATTGCTGCTGATGTCCATGTAATCGAAGTTTGGATTTTCTGCAAATTCCGGGAGAGCTCCACTGAGGTTATTCTGTTCAAGCTTCAACCTCCAAAGAGTGGAGCAATTTCCAACATCAGAAGGTATGGAGCCTTGAAGTCGATTGGAAGCCGTAGTCAACACCCTTAATCGCTTTCCATGGCAAAGATTTGGAGGGATTGTACCAGTGAAGTTATTATTCAGAAAATCTAACTGCACTAGACTGCTGTTAATCCCCAGACCTTGAGGTATAACTCCAGAAAACAGGTTGTTAAACAACGAAATATTCTGCAGCTGCTTCAGCTCAGTCATCTCTACAGGCAGCTCCCCCGTGAGGCTATTATTGTACAGAAGGATGTGCTGAAGACTCTGAATCTTCCAAATGCTAATTGGGATTTCACCAGTTAACCTGTTCTCGAACAATTCAAGATCCTGCAATTTGGTCAGCATCCCCAATTCACTAGGAATTTCTCCCTCTAGTTGGTTCGTATACAAGTGTAGTCCGGTCAAGGACGTACACTTACTAAGTTCAGGAGGTATTTTCCCAGACAAACGGTTCTCAGGAAGGTACAGAAGTTCAAGCTTCTCTAGTTGGCCGAAGGACGACGGGATAGTCCCCACTAAGTTGCTACTCACAGCAGCAAACTGTGTTAAATTACCACAATTTCCCAGGCTTGATGGAAGACCTCCACTAAACTGATTGCGTGACAAATCCAAGAAAAACAAATTCTTGCAATCCCCAGAACCCAAATCAATCCTACCCTCGAGATGGTTCCCACTAACTTCAAGATACACTAGGTTCCCAAGATTGTTCAGACTCTTAGGCAGGACTCCACTCAACTGGTTATCACCCAGATACAACTCCTCCAATTTACTTAAATTCCCAACATTTGCAGGGATGGAACCATTCAAACTATTCTCATACAGATAAATATAGACCAAGCCGGAAATCGAAAACAAGGGTTCAGGGATTTCACCAGAAAAACCATTTACCGACAAGTCCAAGTACTCAAGTAAAGTACAATTGGCCAAGCCGGTTGGGATTTTGCCACTAAAGTTGTTGGAACCCAAAGAAAGAGTCTGCAAAAACCTAAAGCTGGCAACTTCAGGACCCAATTGGCCAGAAATTCCTAACCCGGTGAGGTTTAAGGCAACCACATTGTGGGATTTATCACACTGGATTCCAACCCATTGGCAAGGATTGGAATCAGAGGCATTCCAGGTGGAGGATATTGGGGTTGGGACTATAGTCCAGTGCTTGAGGAGGGACAACAGTGCCACCCCATCAGAGCTCAAGCTAGATACAAGAGGTATGGGCACAGAAAAGAAGAACAACAATAAGAAGAAGAAATTTGAGAGAGAAAGCTGCATGCTTTGGTGTCTAATTAGATGAAAAGAAAAAAGAAAAATATTTGGTAAAGATATGAGCTTTAGCTACTGCATGTAGATTCAGCTTTCCTTTGCATTTGAGTGAGTTGGAAACCGATGGAACAGTTTGAGAGAGAGAGAGAGAGAGAGAGAGTGAGGACGATGTTGGGATTTTGGTAAAGATTTGAGCTTTAGTGGTAAGCACGCTTATTTGAGCTCACAGTAAAACCCAGCAGCATGTAGATTGAATTGAGTTGGAAACTGAGTGGAAAAGGAGAGGATTGTGTTGGGGTTTTTGGCATGGCGGTTGAGGCTGTTAAATAGCGTAGAATTGAGTAGAATATGGAGTGTTTTTACGCGTACTTCTGGTTGGAGCCACATTTTGGAGACTAGTGTGGACCTTAGTCATACTTTTATAACCTGACAGAACCAAGAAACGATAAAGACTATTTTCCTGTGTGTTTTATGTGTGTTATTTGACAACTAAAATAATAAAAACTAAAATTTGTTTTTTGTGTGTGTGAACAAAGCATAAGGATAAATACCTTCTAGTGAAATTGTGTGATGAAATCAGGGTGGGTGGGTGCTTGTGTTCACACAAACATGCCTGCAGGGTGATTTCACATTTTGACCACAACGTATGAATCCAATATTATGAGTGTTTTAGGCTTTTAGCAGTTATATTTAATTTTTATAATTAATAGATTTTATTTATTTATTTTAATTCAATATTACGCGTGTTTAAGCAGTTATATTTCATTTTTATAATTAATATATTTTATTTATTTATTTATTTTATCTATTCGTTTTTCTTACCTACTATATATTATTGAAAAAAATTATAAAATATTTGTGTTCTGATTTTATTAATAAAAAAGTGGGGCTTATAGTACATTATATATTGTCGAAAATGAGAATTGACATTTCTAAATATTTTGGAGCGTTTGGTTTCTCAATAGGATGTAATAATTTTAAACTTTTTCCTTCTCTTACATAATAATAATTTTAAAAAAATAATACCAACCATATATATCAATCCCCAACCCCATTTGCTACCAGATAAACATGGACTGATAATTGTTTATGCGCACGCGTTAATTTAATTGTCAATATACACATACAAAATTATATAATTAATATAAAATACCACGATTGCAATATATTCGTATTGGAGGATTATATTCACACCCTAAATTACTTCTCTCACATCTTTTAAATTTTTTAATATTTTTTTATCAAGTGTTAGTGGTGTGTAGAAAATATTAAAAAATTAAAAAGATGTGGAAGACGCATTTTAAGATGTGTGAATAAAATCTCTCATTCGTATTATATAAGTTGTCCGTGGATTATTAATGTATTGTATATGCCATATTTAACCACTCCTCAACTACACTAAAGCATCAATTATTTATTGTTTTTGGTTTGTTAAACTGTCAATAAAAAAGGCAAATCCTTCAGAATAGACAATGACATTACGCAATGTGAAAACAAGGCAAGGATTTGCGGAAGTCTCGTCCAAAGGTGGAGCTGACTGCACACAGCCACGTCAATACTGGGGACAAGAAAAGGATTCCTCCAACTATTTTAAGGGAGGGAGGCCCTACTTAAACCACCACCAATTGTGACTTCTGACTTTCTGCAAAATAAACATATTATTTTACTTATCAAAAATATAATTAAGCCTAATACTTGGGTGTGCGGGTAAATTCAGGGTTTTGACAATGAAATTGTGGGTGGGAATAAAATAAATACATAGTAAACTATTGTGAAGAAAAAAAAAACACCTCTCAATTAGTTTTATTCCTAATGATATACTATCTATCATCTTATTAATTATCGTACCCATTGTATATAATCAAAAATATAAGATGACAGAAAGTACATAGAAAGTCAGTGAGTCTCCTTAGCTTTTCTCACATTCCACATCCCCTTTGACAAATGTGGTCGGAGGAAAAAATATCGGAAACATGGACCATGACCATTGATCCATGAACCGTTACATCTTTAGTCTCTAGATTTTTAGCCAACGACCCGACGGCTATGAATATCGGTCCATGCTATGGGTCAATCCATTCTAGTTGCGAAAGCACGTATAGAAAATCAGTGGGTATGGTCAAAATCAAGAGCACCCGCACCCAATAAGGTCAAGTAGGGCTTGCATAAAGTGAAGCAAGAACTGCAAACTACCCACTTTCTATTTTTCTTCACTTTCCAGTAAGTCTTCACAACCTATGAATTCAGTTCACTTACAAGTAATCAATGGCACGCTAGGACCAACGCATAGTTCCATCATATTTGCTTCAAACTAGTTATGGAAAAAATGTGTTTCCTCTCGCCGATGAACATCAAGATACCTACTAATCTCGAGGCCAGAGGTACAAGAAAATTGCTTGATGGTTGCCTAGTGAAGTAATATTACCTGAAACAAACGAGCAGCTGAAGACACCTGACCTCCTCAAATGAATAGTGCATTGTCATTTGGTATTGGAATATCCTGTATATAAACCACATAGCATGTATATAATACCCAACATCTTTCTGAAAAGTCATGCTTCGAACATCTTGAATGGTAAAACTGCATGTCTAGCTCCTCGCTTAAACGATGATCTATGACTAGTCTAAGTTATTAGTATGTCGTGGGGATGGAAATGAAAAACGTGATGGAAACGGAAAACATGATAACTAATGGTGTGTTTTCCTAAGTATTCACAACGGAATGGAAGTTATGCCATCAAATAGAACTGAGGACCACCTTCAGATGATTGGTTGAGATAAGTTAATCACTCAAACCTAAGTTCAAAAATAATGTAAGGTAGCAAGATGTCTATATGGATGGTCATTCCTAATTTCGACATACAACAATTTAATCTGTAGACAAATGCACAACCCACCACCCTACAGATGATAACAATATTTTTGCCCCTAATATTGCATTAACACATACTGCTGAAATATGCATGTCACAAATACGCTATAAGATGATAACAATTTGAGCCCCTAACATCCAGGCATTAACACATACTGCTGAAATGCATGTCACAAGTACGTTATAACATGGCCAAATGGTATGTTCAAGATGCCACTAAGCGCATTCATTCACATGAGGGGAGATGCTAATGCTGATGACGTGACTATGAAATAGATGCATGCAACAGCTGCAAGATGCATCCTATCATGTGGTTGTGATTGTCTCTAGCATAAGGAACAGAGTACATCCCCTTCAAGCTACTGGTATGTCATAGCCGGTGGAGCTCCATTGGCAGCAGGGACAGCACCAGGGTGGTTTCCATCCTTCCTTTTCCCAAATGGGTTCTTTGAATATGTATTTATAAGTCAAGAAGAAAACATATATTGCCAATCACAAAAGGAACATAGACAAGTCACGAGTAACATATATATCTGTGGTGAGGTGGATCAGAATTCAGAATATATATATAGAAGTTATTTTAAGGAATATTGGAATTAAAATTATTCTGTAAAATAAAAATCTTGCTGCAAATGCCATTTGGTAATCTAAACTCTGGTATCACTATGATATACCAACCATAAAAGGGTATTCAAACCTTTTATTCATGTAACATTAATCAGTCACACTGACGCACACAGAAAAGGCACATCAACAGATGACTTGTGCACGTCACTAAATAGGATTTGCTAAACTCCATATACTAATTTAAGACAAGTTTCGTGATTATGTAGAGCACCAACAAACTATACATCTGGAAACCTAGATTAAAAAATAGAGCAAGAACCTGATCGATCTGACTCAGCATTGGATCGTATAACCCACAAAACAAAAATCCATCCTAGAAAACAGAGTTTGGAAACATGAATGTTACAGGTGACTTGAGAAAGTAGAAACTAGTCACAGTCATACATGTAAGACAGTCCAGCAACCAGGTACATGTGAGCACGAATTTTGACCTATGCTTATTTATACTTGCAGTCCAATTAATATTAACTTGCATAAACAACAAACAAAATATCAGCCATAAGAAAATTCAAAAAGGATATTGTATTCTCATGCCTACAGAACCAGAACTGGGGATAACAGCACCCTGCAAAGCATGGTGTACATTGGTGGCACTGTTCACATCCTGCATGGGTTATACAGAAAATCTGTTTAGTAAATACAGAAAAGGGCAGGCAATCAGAATATTTATCCCAATATGAAAGCGTCAATGAACAGCATTTAATTGCTAAATATTACTTACTTCAAACTCAATGAAACAAACAGTATGCCTTTCTTGTCTTAAGATCTTCATTTGCTTAAATCCAGGTTGTCTGCATTACCAAAAATTTATATTTAGCTTGACACCTTTCTTATGAAACAAAGAAATGAAACACATCCTAAGGTAAGGGATGAAACATTCATACGAGCTGAAAAGGCCCCTCAGTTCTTCCTCATTAATTGTCTCTCCCAGATTTCCAATAAATAAGGTATTGCACGGTGGGTTATCTTTAGTGTTCTGCAGGAAACATGAACCATTATAAAGAAGAACAAATTATATTTATCGGATTCCTACATCATGGACAGCCAACAGTTATGAAAAAATTGGCCACTGCGAAACAACAAAAGTACAGCAAACAGGAAGAAAGAAAGTGGGGAATACACAAACAAAATAAGCTAGATAAAGGGAAGAAAATAAATCTTTGAACTGTGAGTCAAACAAGTAAAAATGAATAGCTAATCTGCTTAGTTAGTTTAAATATCATTTTAAGGCTGCACTTCAGTTTTTTTCCTCTTCGATATAATATACATTCATTTATATAAACAAGAGAAGAAGGGGCACAGTGGTTGTTTGACTAGTGATGGCTAGACAAACTATATCTCTTGATAAATATCAATATCTCAACTCCCCACACACACACCCCAATCCAAAGAATAAAAAAAAGGAAATTTGTGAGGTTCATGCAAACACAAACTCTTTACCCAACATTTTACGCACACAAAGCATAGTGGATTACCAGAACAGGTACATAACTACTCGGTGCTGGTACAGGAGGAGGAGGATGCATTTGTACTGGAGGAACAGGATAACCACCATATGGATCATACGTAGGAGGTGGTGGAGCCATATACCTGGGCCACACGAGCAACATTCACATGAGAAAATGTGAAATATCTGGAAAGGAAAACATATGCTCTATTGAGCAGCAGAAACAATTTTTTTCGAAATTAGATGAGCAATGTTTGATTACCCGTGTGGCCCCCAAACAGGTGGAGGAGGAGGATGAAAAGGAGATGGACTGCTATAGCCAGCCTGTGAGTAGTCACCACCAGTTCGCAAACGTTTACTCTGATCGTAAGGGCTTGTATCGCCTACAATTCCTACAGTTTCGAACTCAAATTAGATAGTCACAAAATATTCAATCAAACTCTCTAAGCTAACCAAAAACCATTGTTATTACAAATTGAACCAACATAATGCGGTAATGATAAACATAAGCAACAGAACCGATACTTGCACATTACCGGAAACAGGAAATTATCTCCTATTCCGCTAACAAAATTGAACTTTAAACCAAATACATTGAGTACTACACAATGTAGATAAAACTCTATGAACTAGATCCCTAACAAAATACCGAAAACAATAAAACTCTCCAATTCAACTCAAAAAGTAACAAATTGATCACCATCCTAACCTCTTTTAACAAAAAGATTCTTCTTTGCCATCTCCGTGTGCAGCACAGCCTTCGACTCCGAATCGAAAATCATACCCTAAACCCCAAAATCCAACAAAAACTCAAAATTTCATCATAAACATCAAAATTAAAATTCAACGTAAGAAATTATTCAAAGCTAACCTGAAGGGCGTCTTTGGCAGCAATGGCTTGATGAGCAGTGGAAAAGAGCGCGAAACTCATAGGCTTCTCGCCCTTGTTGTTGACCTGCGAGGCCTCGTATCCTGGCAACCATCTCAGGAGGTTCTGTATCTCTCTCTCCTTCACATCCTCAGGAAGACCAGTGATGAATATGGTGCGAACCTCATCGGTAAGGGGTCGGTTGGGGTTGTCGACGAGGTGGTGAGGAGGAGGAGGAGCTATAGAGCCAACAGCCGGAGGGGGAGGCGGAGGAGCGGCGGCTGCGGGCTGCCATTGCTGGTGGTACGGGTGGATCCCAGTGCCGGCCATATCCGATTTGTACGCAAAACCCTAGAGAGAGAAAGAGAGGGAGGGAGGGAGGGGAGAGAGAGTTGAGATTTGTCGGAGGTAAAAGTTGAGTGTTTGGAATGGGATTTTGCTGCGAGCGATTGGGAATTTGCCGAATCGAGTTGTAGAAAACTGCAACTGTATAGGGTGCCGACCCTCTGATTCACTTACCCATCGTGTGTTGACACGTGCATAAAGCAAGATCGTGAGGTTTATAACATTTTCCGTATTTTTGAGTTTGTTTTATTTCTTCTTCTGGCGTCCACCGGAGAAAGTTTTTGTGATATTTATGACACCGATTTATAAATTAATAATTTTTCATAGAATTTGAGATATTTTATTTGAGTTTTAGAGATTTTAAAAAAAAAATTTAGTGTTGTAGCCTATTTTATCTGACAAGGAGAAGGGAGGCAGCGGTAGAGAGAAAGAAGACATACGCGTTTGTAGAATTGTCTAGATGAATGTGTGAGAAATGCATAGTCTAAGGAAAAACACGTGAGAAATGCAAAGTTAAATAAAACGTCTATGGGACGTCATCAATGATATGATCAACCCAAGGTGGGTGCCTCGTTAAAACCCAGTTAGGTAGCAAAAACCCAGTTGGAAAAATGCTCATAATCGTAGGGAAAAAGAGGATCAAGCAAGTATACTTCAGGATATTCCTCCTAAGTTTGACACGATTCTAAAGAGAACTAGCAATGTTACAACTCAGAAAGTTTACGCATACAAATTCCATGAACAAGCTTCCTAAAACGTCGCATTCAGTAGTGATTTGGTGAAGAGGTTGGCCAGATTGTCTTGTGAACAGATTTGCATGACTTCAATTTTCTAATGCTTTTGTTGTAGATGTGAGAAGAAGAACTTCAGCGCATTGTGCTTGGTGTTGTCTCCTTTGATGTAACCCTTCTTGAGTTGTTCGATGCATGTTGCGTTGTCTTCATAGATCATCATCGAGACATCAACGACGGGGTAAAGATCACGTGAGCTTCAAATATGGCTCACAACTGCTCTTAACCAAAAGCATTCCCGAGTTGCTTTATGTAAGGCGAGAATTTCAGCATGGTTAGACGAAGCGGCAACGAAGGTTTGTTTAATTGACTTCCAAGAGATTGCAGTGTCTTAAATGGTAAAGACATAACCCGTTTAAGAGCACGCCTTGTGTGGATCAGATAAGTATGCTACGTCGATATAACCAACAAAGCGAGAATCGACTTGAGAAGCGGGGGGTGCAGCATCACTCAAGGATTCGTAAGGATAGAACAAGCTCAAATCCATGGTACCTTTAAGGTAGCGGAAAATGTCTTTAACACCAGTCTAGTGTGTGCGCGTTGGTGCATTACTGTATCTTGCCAAAAGATTAACAACAAAGGAAATGTCGGGTTTAGTGCATTGAGCTAAGTACAATAAAGCTCTTATCACACTTAGATAAGGAACTTCCACTCCAAAATCTCTTCACCATCCTCCTTCAGACGGAAGGGATCTCGTTTTGTATCTAGCGATTGAACGACCATAGGAGTACTCGAAGGCTTCGCTTTATACTTATTAAAGCAACGCACCACCTTCTGGGTGTAGTTCGTTTAATGTACTAAGATTCTATCCGAACAGTGCTCTATCTTAAGACCAAGACAGTATCGAGTCTTTCCTAGATCTTTTATCTCAAATTCCAACTTCAGGTGTGCAACAGTTCTCGCGAGCTCTTGATGAGTTCTAATAAGGTTCATGTCATCGACATAAACTGGAACTATCACAAAATCGGACTGTGACTTCTTAATGAACACACAAGGGCATTATTCCTTGTTCACATATCCCTGACTAGTCAAATATTCACTCAGACGATTATACCACATTCTTCCAGATTGCTTCAAATCGTAGAGTGAACGCCTCAGCCGAATTGAAAGCGTGTTCCGGGATTTGGAAATATTTGATCCAGTCAATGTAAGTTCTTCGGGAACTTTCATATAAATTTCTGTATCAAGATCCCCATAGAGATACACAGTTACTACGTCCATCAGTTGTATACTCAATTTTTCGGAAACAACCAAACTGATAAGGTAGCGAATAGTAGTCACATCCATAACAGGTGAATAAGTTTCGTGCGTTGTGAGAAGCCTTACATAATAAGACAAGCTTTGTAACGCATAATTTCGTTCTTCTCATTAAGCTTCCGAACGAAACTCACGTGTAGCCAACGAGCTTCACATGTGAAAGAGTATGAGCTACAAGTCTAAACACTTTACATTTCGTAAACGAATCGAGTTTGACTTGGATTGCTTGTTTCCAGTTTGATTAATCGGTTCTACGTCGACATTCATCAACGGAACGAGGTTCAAAGTCATCGCTTAACATGATCTTAGTAGCTACTGCATATGTTAATGCATCATCAACGATCATCTCATTTCTACACCACACATCATCATTTAAGCTAGCATAATAGACCAAAATATCACGATTCTTAAGAGGTGGATTCGTCTTTTCAAGGATGCTTCCGTAATCTAGAATTTCTTCATGAGTTAGATAGAATGAGTAAGAGACGGTCGGATTCACGATAGGTTCTTTAGGTGCATGTGCCGTGGGTTTCCTTTTTCGAGGGTGTGAATCCTTTAAACCAAGTGGTATTTCACACTTTTGTGTAGGGGCAGATGATTGGCTAGCCGCTAATGTACGTGGATCACCAAAGTTGGTATCCCGGGCCTCCATAAGGGAAGTCCGTTGTACATTTGGTACATTCATCTTTGCAGGCATATGCGTAGCTATAATATGTGACCTTGTCACTCGCGCTAGAATGGTGAAAGCATCTGGCATGCTCTGAAGATCTAATATGCATTGCACTTCAGTTTCAGATTGAGCGGTGCGGGGATCTAAATGAGACAAAGTAGGAGTCGTCCACGATAAATCGCGTCATTCTTCAGGAACGTTGATGTTCTTATCTTCCCCTAACGATGGGAAGACTGTCTTATAGAAGTGATAATCCGCGAAATAAGCGGTAAACAGATCGTCTGTCAAAGGTTCTAAGTAACGAATGATCGAATGAGAATCATATTCGACATAAATTCCCATCATTTGTTGAGGCCCTATTTTTGTACGTAAGGGCGGCGAAATAGGCATATAGATCGCACAACCAAAAATGCGCAGATGAGATATGTTGGATTTATATCCGGTAACCAACTGAAAGACACTATATGGTTGGGTAGCAATAGGCCTCAGGCATACCAACATGGCTGCGTGCAATATTGCATGGCCCCAAGCAGTGATTGGGAGCTTGGTACTTATGACCAACGATCGAGCAATCATTTGTAAGCGCTTAATGAATGTCTCTGCCAGGCCTTTCTAGGTGTGAACATGGGGTACATGATGTTCAACTTCAACCCCAACCGACATGCAATAGTCATCAAAAGTTTTATATGTGAATTCTCCAGCATTATCCAATCAAATAGATTTTATCGGATAATCAAGATGGTGAGCCCTAAGCTTGATAACATGAGCCAACAGTTTGAAGAATACAACGTTCCTTGTGGACAACAAGCACACGTGTGACCAATATGTGGAAACGTCAACCAAAACCATAAAATATCTAAATGGTCCGCATTGAGGGTGAATAGGTCCACAAATGTCCCCCTGAATTCTTATAGAAAAATAGGAGGATTCGAACGAATCTTGTCATAAGAAGACTTAGTAATAAGCTTTCCCATTGAACATGTTTGACATGCAATTCCTTGAATTGAACCTAAACGTCGAGTTAGTGGATACCCATGTGATGATATGAGGATACAACACATTGCTATTCGTCCAAGGTGTCCCAAACAATCATGCCAAAGTGTAATTTCGTGCACGGTCCCAGAGGTAGGGCAAGCCACATAGTGACTTTCTATGGAGCGTATGGTTGTAGTAAACAAACCACTCGGGATACGCTTCATCTTCTCTAGAATACGCTTCTGGCCATTTTCGTAAAAAGTTATGCATAGAAATTCAATTCCGTTTTCTACATAGGTTTCAGCGTGGTAATTATTATCTCTAATGTCCTTAAAACTCAACAACGTTCTTTCGGAACGCGGAGAATAAAGTGTCTCATCAATGGTTAAAATTGTACTATTGGACAACAATATATGTGTCTTACCGTATTCTTCGATCATGTTGTCAGAGGTGCATTCTTAGGTATGAGGTTAGTGAAATAGATGCATCCACATAAAACAGTGTCCATGGTTGCACTATCTACCAGACAACTAATTTCCCTACTAGTCATACCTAGAATGAAAAATTAATTTGAATTGGTCATATGCGTAAAAGTTCTAAAAACAAATATTCATTCAAAATCATTTTAAGTATTCAAGGATGGTAATTAATTAAAAACTTAATATCCAAAAACAAATCACCAACAAATAATCCAAACATAAAGGAAAATTGTTCAAAATTAACTAAAAACACAAGGGTGATTCGGCTAATAGGTGGAATTTGGCCCCATTGTCTAAATTTCAACTAGAAAAATAGTTTATGTTTAAGATTCTAAACTTCCATAGGGGTAATGACCTCGTGAAAGTCAGAAACTTCCATCTTGGTACTCTTCGGTCATCCACTTGCACAAAATTTGATTCAAACTTCTTATAACGAGATTGATATTCAGCTACAACCTTCTGGGGAATACGGCAAAGACTGGACCAATGGTCCTTTGAACCACATCGATAACACATATCCGCATCCATGGTTTCAGGTGCTTTGCCTTTATTCTTGAAGTTTGGGGCCTTGTGAGCGAGGTTAGGGGGCTTATAGGCTTTGTTTCCTCCCTTAGATGGGCCTTGGCTCTGTTGACCTTAACGAGGTGACTTTTGGCCGCCCCTACCATGCCTCTTTTGGCGTTTTGGGCGTTGGTTCATGCTATAGTATGCTTCAGGCACAACAGTCGCCTTAGTAGGTCGAGATTGATGATTTTTCATCAACAGCTGATTCTGTTTTTCAGCGATAAATAAAACAGAGAAGGTCAAATAGGTATTCTTCAGGAGATCTTCTTCGGTCAAAGTTTCATTACAAAACTTGAGAAATGATCGGATTCGATAAACTTCATAATTATATTCATTCACAGACTTAAAGTTTTGGAAGCGCAAATGCTGCCAGTCATGTCTTGCTTA